AATTTTATATATAATCTGTATTTTAAATTGTAGAAAAATATATTATCATCAAGAAAACTTAAAATAAACATAATGAACATAATTATATACTTGGTTAAATTTTGAACAACAATCCCAACTGAAACATTAATAATCTGATGAGGATAAAAACTTTAGAGGAAATTAAGAAGACTCCAAAAACTAACGTAAGCCATATATATATATGCACATAGAGAAGGGATCATATGAGAAAGGAAGATAATGAAAGAAATAAAAATGATCTTATATCATTGGATCAATCAAATCAATAAACATGATCAAGTCAAAACTTAATAAATCACAGTCAAACATGAGTGGTATTTTCGCAAATAATTGTAAACAGCATGGTCAATGGTAAAAGTTAGACCACTAGGTGGGGGTAAATCAGATATTATACACTGCAAGTGGACCCACCACTAAACCACTAATCTACCCACCCTCTCTCACACATAAACACACACTTACACATACAGAAACACCAAACGACGCACACATGTGAAAAACACACACAAACACGCACAAGTTCGATGGAGCCTCCGCCAGACCTCAGTTGCGCCGCCGCCGCTAGCTTCTCCGGTCACATCGCTGCTGAAACTAGCCCGCCGCCGTCAATCTGGATAACTCTCCGATTCCGGCATTGTACGTAGCCGGCGTGGTGGACTTCTCCTGGCGGCCGTTTATCGATCGCCCGCCGTCTCGTTGTGTCGCCACGGCCATCGTTCCCGCCCTGCACGAAGACGGCGACAATACCTGAAGAAAATGGGATCTGCAATTTTTTTTTTTTTTTTTTTCCGTGCAGAGCCGCAGAGCCGCGTGCTGCGGCGGCGATAGGCGTTGGGCCATAAAGACGGTAGATTGGCGACCATAGCAACAGTGACGAACGTCAGGAGTGAGCTTCGGCTGACGTGAACGGGATTGGCCTATTGAAAATGTGTTTGGAATTATGGGGTTATCTTTTGAGAATTTGATAGGTTGTAGGGACTTGATTGAAATTTTTTAAAGTTTCCTTAATTTCAATTTAATACTTGAGGCAAATATGTAATATAACAAAAGATTAACTAATGCACAATATATCATGTTTTACTATAAATAATTGCGTTTATTTTTTCGATTAATTGAATTAAGCAAAATAATTGAAATAAATTAAATTAATTAATATAAATTATTGTTTAATATTTATTATTCTAGATTATGTTTGATTAAAAAAATAATATATTATGGAAAAAAATATGTTGTGCAATCTAACAGTTATTAATGTGCAATCCGTCCAACAATACGGTGTAAGATGACGGTCTGTATTGTGCAGATTGAACCAACTAAACTTTTTCTCACATATCGAGTTGAAAATGAATATAATCAGCCCATTTATTTGGTTCGACTAACCGAAATGTCATAAACAATCAAAATAATTTGTTATTCATACTAAACTTATTTTTAACATGTTAATAATTTTATTTATTAATTTTTACATTATTTGTGGTTGAAAAATTGGAGTTTGGCCGATTTCGGTCTATATTGTGGAGTGTCGTGACAAAGTGCAGCGAGTTGTTTTATAAAGTGCAACGTTGTGTGTTAGAAAGTGCAACATGTTGATATAGAAAGTGCACAACTGTAATTTGGATAAGTTAACATGCTTGTGTGTTTTTGTCTACATGATTGATGT